AGTAAATGTATTGTTCTCCTTTAATGACTGAATTTCTTCATCCATTGCTTCAATCCACTGTTTTGAGTTTGACGACTCTATAGCTTCCTTAAATGTATGTGGGACACCACACACTGCTCTGTAACAATGATCAATAGTCATACTTATCCCATCACTATCACCGTTGTCAGTTACAAAATCCCTTAAATGATTTGGTTTTCTCCTCTCCCTTAGAGGATACCTCCTACCAGCATATTCACTGCTTGTCTCTCTTAACTCTCCTTGGTCACATACATCAGATGTACCAACCTGGGTGTTTCTGTTTCCTACCCTTGGTTCCTGAGGCTTCTCAGTGTTCTCATGAACCTCCTGTGTGACTCTCTCAACCTTAGGATGTCTCATTTTGTTTTCATCATCATCTGGTTCTGTCTCAATTGTCTGTGTTTGTTTTTCCACCTTTACCTTGCTCACAAATTTAACAAGTCTGTGTTTTTGAACCTTTTCAGTGTCAGGATGGTAAACCAAATAAGCAGGGCTGTTTTTGTCATAACCGACAAAAAGTCCCCATTCACATTTGGAATCAAGCTTTCCCTTGTCCTGTTTGTAGGTGTAACATACAGATCCAAATTTCTGCATCTTGGACAAATTTGGCTTTTTCTCTGTCAGCATCTGGAAAGGGGTCTTTCCTGTTCTGTTGTTAAAGCATCTGTTGCGTATACAAGGCGCCGTCTGAACGGCATAGTTCCAGAGACACTTGGGGAGCTGGCTTTCGATTAGCATACATCTGCCCATTTCAAACAGAGTGCGCCAGCCCCTCTCTGCAGTACCATTCTGGTGAGGTGAATATGGGGCTGATGTCTCATGTCTGATGCCATTCCTCCTTAACAGTCCCTGGAAGTCTCTACACATAAACTCTGTGCCATTGTCTGATCTAATACACTTTACCTTTCCATAAGGAGCAGTATCTGCCAGGAACTTTTCAGTTGCCTGCACCGTATCACTCTTTGTTTTAAGAAAGTATACAAACATTGCATTTGAGTAATCATCAGTAAATGACTGCACGTATTTGTACCCATCAATAGACTCATTAGCTACTGGACCAGCTAAGTCTGTGTGTACAATTTGTAAGGGAGCCTCTGCTCTCGTATCAGGGTCTCTTTTTCGGGTTTGAACAAACTTTCCCTGAACACATACCTCACACTCTTGGTCAGGCTTACTAGTCTTCCCCTTAATCTGCATACCATCAACCACATTTTGTAATCTTAGTACATCCTCATAGTTGCAGTGGCCTAATATTTCGTGCCACGTCTGCATGTCGCGACAAGTATTACACTTATCGTTTTCCTCAATCTCAGTGTGCAAATAATACAACTTACCATACACATGTATGTTAAACCTGGTACCGTCTTTGTGTGTTAACATGTCCTGTCCTTGTTTAAATGTGACAGTTGCTCCTAGCGCGGTGGCTGATTTTACAGAAAAAAAATGTCTTGGGGGGTAAGACGGTATAAACAATGCGTTCCTCAGCGTTGCTTTGCATCGTTGTCCCGTACTGTCCACCAGGAACACCTCTGCGTCCCCTTTGCGTTGAGCAATGCCTCTGCACAGAATGCCGTCTGCCAACTCCACACAGTGCGTCTCAGGCTTGAATGTGTCATCAAAACTTTTAAATCTCGCCAAGTCGGTAATGATGTGGGAAGTAGCTCCAGTGTCAACCATCAGGCCCTTCTCCTTGATGCTGCGCGCTGGCTGCTGCTGAATCCCGATGTCTACACCCTGGACTTTAAAAGCATAATCCGCTGCTGCTGTCCCAGGTCCGTAGTCGTTC